CAGCCTTATAACAAGAGGCTAGTTAGGCATGAGAGCTCGGGTTCAAACCTCAGCAATCCGCCCCAAATTATCAATATATATATACACACACATACATATAGTACTTATTGTTCTCAACCTAGAAAATATATAGTGTCAACAATCTCTTGGACATGTGAAGCATGAGAGCTTGGGTTCAAACTCTAGCAACCCCACCCGGAAGTGATCAATACAAACACACACACATAGCACTTATTGTTCTCAACCCAAAAAAATATATGGTGCCAACAACCTCAGGATCTTGTGGCAAGAGGCTTGCGAGGCATCAGACCTTGGGTTCAAACCCTAGCAATCTCACCCACAAAATTATCAATATATATACAGCATTTATCATGTTGACGCAAAGGAAAAATGAAAATGAAGTACTAAATAAAGAGGAAACAAACCCACAGGATCAAACAAATTTTCTCCTTCAAGAGAATCAGAAGCGCGGTGATGACTTCGGAGAACATTGATAAGGCTTGACTTCCCAACCCCACTTGGACCAACAATTACCGTTGTTTGATCCCTCAAGTAAAATGCAAGAGAATCAAGTCCATTTTTGGTCTCAACACTGCAAAAGATAGGTTCGTAGCCCCAGCCCCGCAACCTACTCTTCCATGAAAAAATAGTCTGCAAATGCATTTCAAAGTCCCAGTATGTATATTTGCCAAGAAAATACACAAATATTATTTGGCAATGTAAATGAGATTCAAATATTAAAAACCACAAATCGGGGTATTCAACGCTATATTATTCGACTTTCTTCTTCTTCTTCAAGCACTCATGTATGACACATTTTTAGACATAGATACATCAACCCTTCAAGAATCCAAATACATGAAAAAACTTCAAAAAGAAACTAGAGCACCCGTATTGGACACATACCTGAATTTGACACTACCGGCACAAGTGAGTAAAATAGATTCGATGAGACGAACAACAACCATTTTGTTTCCAACTTCGTATCCAAATTAGAGTAAGTAAAATTACCATAATATTATGAACAAACAACTAGCAATTGCAAAGCTTGAATGATAGACTAGAGCTAGCCAAAAAATGTATGGAAATTTCAATTTACTTCTCTTTTGACTATTTTCCCCTAATCTGTTGATCTAATTCCAACTCTTCATTTTTTTCTAGAACAAACACTCGTATTGAATACATATTGGGACGTAAGAACAAGCTCTCCAAATATATGAAGAACTTCAACAACAAAAAAATTGTGGTCAGTTCTATATCAAGAGAGCGTCAAGAATTGAACCTCCTCATCAATGAGTTCCGTTTTGTTTAAAGCAAGGGTGAGGGGAATTCCATAGGACTCAGCTTCGACCAAGAATCTCGTGAGCATAAACGGTTCGATCGTCGGCTGTTCCATCGAGAAAAGCACGAGCAAGTGGTCGACATTGGCGACAGGCGGGTCCAAGATCTCGGAGCTCCGTTGGAATACATTCTCGATAACCCCACGCCGATCCACCCAATCAATCGAACCCACCACCACCTTGTCCCCAACCAAAACCCTCCTCTTTATCTTCTTCAAAACAGCCTTCACCACGCACAGCAACTCCACCCCGGCCTTAGAACTATCCCCGGGTTCTTTCTGTTCCCCTTGGACGATAACCCGCATGAAGTTGGCTTGGGCGGCGGCGACGGCGCCGATGGCTTGGGAATCAGAGAGGGGCGGGGCTTCATTAGGGGCAAGGACGGGGGCTAAGGAGGAGTAGTCTTTGAAAATGTGTTTGGCTTTGAGGAGATTCTTGTTGGGTTGGGGTTTTCTGGATACGTTGTGTCTGGGATTTGAAGGAGTCTGCTTGGCGGAGAGGATAACGAGGTGGCGGTCGGGTGGTAATTGGCGGCGGATGGCGGTGGTTACGGCGGGTAAGCGGCTGCGGAACAGTGAAAATGAAGTGATCGGCATGTCTGGTTAGTGGGAATTTTGTACCTGAAGTAAGATAAATTCAGTATTATTATTCTCCTTTTTATTTCAGGGTAAAGTATACAAATGGTCTCTTAATTATAGGTACTATTTTATTAAGTCTCTTAACTATTAAAAGTTACAAAATAATCTTTCGATTACATAATGTTATTTTATTAAGTCCTTTAACTATTAAAAGTTACAAAATAGTCACCCAACTATTTATTATATTCTAAACTCATCTGTTTCCATTAAAAAATTAACAGTTGTTTAAGCTGGATGTTAACATGATGAATGAAATATAATAGTCGTTTGAGATTCTAAGATCATATTTTATCATATCATGGTCAGTAGGTTAGTGTTCAGCTCATAATATCATTAATTTTTTAGCAGAAAATGACAAGTTTGGAACATAATGAATAGCCGGATGATCATTTTGTAACTTTTAATAGTCGAAAGATCAATTTTTAACTTTTAATAATCGATGGATTTAATAAAGTAGTACCCTACCGACCATTTGTGTACTTAACCCTTAATTTTATTAATAATTTAGTTTTTGATTTTCGTGAATTATATAAAAATTATTTTCTTAATAAAAATAGTGATTATTAGAGTACGATAATTTAGTATATTCAACATTACATTTTATGTACAAATGATAACATTATTGAATTATTTTATTAAATTAATATTTTTTTAATTTTTTATTCAAAATTCCCAAATATTAATCAAAATGCCATTTTTTTAATAAAGATGTATACGTTAGAAATGCCTTTTAAAATACACGCTTTAAAGGACATTTTTACTTGTGTGAAAGGTTTTTTATTCTATTTCTTTTATGTTAATGCCATCCAAGATAAAAAATAAATAAATAAAATATGAAGTAAAATTGTATAAATTTTATGCAAAAAAAAAAAGAGTAATGCAAACGATGCGTATCAAAAATATATATATTTATATGAGTTAATCAGACGACGACGACAATAATAGACATAGAATTTATCTTCAATCATTTAATAAGAATATGTTAAAAATTATACTTAAATACATAAAAGAAATTCATATATAAATAATGTCTGATTCAATAATATCATGATAAAAGTTTATTGATTTTGAGTTGTCAAATACAATTCTTGAACTTGATCAGACTCAGTACGACAATCAAAGACAATTTTAGATATCGGAGTCTCCACTATTTTAGAAGAAAACAATTGTCTTTAGTTATCATAACCCTGTATGATTTTAAAAGATAAAATTATGCACCCATTGTGATCCAATACGATACATGTATATATATAGTTTTTTATTTTTACTAAGTAAATTAAAGACTTGATTGAATAAATATATAAAGAGAGGTATTATACCAATTATCTTCAAATATATAAAGGTCAATCATATTGTTCTTTTCAAGTGGATTAGGCATTTCTCGGTCTAAATCTAAATCTGATCTGACTCGATCTTTATTAGGTAAAACTAGACCTAATTAAATGAATATGGGGAGAGTTATATTATATCAATTATTTTTAAATATATAAATGTCAATTGTACTATTATTCTCGAATTAGGTTAGATATTTTTATCTTAAATCTAAATATGATGGGACTCGACATGATAACTAAAAAATTAAACTTGACCTAACTCGAATATTTTTCTTTTAAAAAAATCAGTTATGTAAAATTAGACTAAAACTCGTCAAATTCAAGTTAAATGTTATCAAAATTCTAATCATAATAGAAAATTAAGATAACCTAGAAATGGCATAAACTGAAAAGTTACTATATATTTATAGTTTGTGTAATATAGTATCATAAGTAGGTAGGGAACCTTTTTTTTTTTTTTTGAATGATAGGTAGGGAACTACATTGAGGAGAACAAGGTACAAGCACTGTATAGCGAGTTTCTTCGAAATCCCCGAAGTCCAAAGTAGTGTAGATGAAAACAACTGCTTCACAGTCCCCCATATGAGATCACCATCTGGTGGAGTGAGTAACTTTCAGCATCCTTCAACGGGTAAGACTACAATCTTAGAAATTATAGCAGTAATTAATGTAGTTAATTAAATCCTACATCAATCCAACTGTGGGTATGATTTATGAATTCATCATCATCTGTTATTACTGAGATTTCCAGTCAACTGTTGATCAGACAGTTCAAATTTAGCTCTATTTTCTAATTGGTTACGAATCTTGATAAGAAAAGTAGTAATCATTTTATCAAATTAATACATCCTGATTAGGTGTTTTGGTGGTGGAGAAAAGCTATTTGGCATTGAATTTGAATGGAAGAGGTAGAATAGAGTTAAAAAAGAGAGAAGAGAATAATGAAATTAACACCAAGAGAAGTGGAGAAGCTTGCCCTTCATAATGCAGGGTTCCTTGCCCAGAAGCGCCTGGCTTGTGGGCTTAAGCTCAATTATACTGAAGCTATTGCTCTCATTGCCACTCAGGTGATTCTTATACTCTGCAATTTTGTCTATATGTATATATTACAAAGTCAATTTGCTATCCGGACTGGGGATATGGTGATTTTAATTAATGTATAAACAGGAGCCAAGTTCGTTCGACCGTTCCCCATTTATTGGATTCTGTACAGGTAACTATGTTTGAAGTAAACATAAATGGCATTAAATTTTCATTTGCAATTCTTATGCTTTATATCCTAAACCTTATGTTTTTTTAACTCTACATTTTCGTAGAAGTACTCAGGTCCCATACATGGTTACGGAGATGTGACCTCTAAGGATCCTTAAAAGTTCAAATCTTGTAAAAGTTTAAAAAAAATCTAATCATATCAGTGCAGGATACAGGTATATATTCGACATGGATATGGTCAGATTTTCTGAAATTCTTGATATATTTGGAGGATACTTGGAGATAATATCCTCGTTCATGTGTGAGACACGAGTGTTATTATGGACACTTTTGAGAAAAAATGAGGAGTTGGAGCAATACAGGCGTGAAGAGTCATTGCTTCGGACTTTCTTGGCTTATATTGTGAACTCTTTTTTTCCCTATTAAAACCAGCAATGCAAGTAAACTAATATTTATTTCAATATAAGGTTGAAGGTACATTTCCTGATGGGACAAAGTTAATCACTATTCATAATCCAATCGTTAGTGAAGATGGAGACTTGCAGCTTACTCTATATGGTTCTTTTCTACCTGGTAGGCCATATATATGTATATTTGGAAATTCAAACTACCGCAAAGAATATATGCATGATATATCAGTGATCTTAGTTGTTGTTTGACCCAAGTGTAAGCAGCGATACATGGTTATGTTCTATTTTTTCTATGTTTGTTTCATGTATTTTTAGGGTATTTGGAGGGTCATATCCCCATATTTATGTTCCAACATGTGTCAGACATGGATATTTTAAGCAAAATGAAAGTTGAACAACATGTTTCTGTACACAGTTTTTTTTTGCGTGCGTGACCTCAAATGAAAGAATAGAGCTCATGTTCAAGTTTCAATTCTTTTCATTTCTTTTCGGATCTAACCTGTCTGGCTTTTGAAATATGAACCTCATGATATATCAATAAGCTATGTGCTTTGACACTTCATTTTTCTTGAAGTATTTGTCTGCCAGATACGAGTGAAATAATAATCCCCCGAGGATATCCAAATACATGAAAATCCAAGAAAACTTGTGCATATCCATATTTGACATATAGTCATATCTGACACTTACACTCCAGCTTAAATAAAATCATCAAACAAGTCTTTTCGTAATTACTTTTATACACTATGCTGTATAGTTGAAACTTGGAATTGTTACTGCTTGAGAATATGAAGTACCCCGATGGGAACTAAAAGAACATTGATACTGCAGTGCCTTCCAGTATGAAACCTGAAATGGAAGATAAAACGGTTCCCGGTAATGTGATCCCCAAAGATGGGATGATTACACTTAATGATGGCAGGAAAGCAGTAAGCCTCAAAGTCTTTAACTCTGGAGACAGGCCAGTTCAGGTGCTGCAAACTCTCTTCTTTTATTCATATCTTTTATTTTTCTTGTTGAGATTTTGATAAATTCTGAATCAGTTTCAGTCTATATTATTAGGATTCGAGTGTGAGTGTTAGATAGGAAGAATGATTAGATTTTTCTATATTATTAGGATTTGAGTGTTAGATATGGATATGATTAGATTTTTCTAAGTTTTCCTGGAGAATCCTTGGAGGTCATATATATGTATCCATATGTCGAATATGTGTATTAATGATTAGTGCCAACAACATATCTTTCAAGAACGATGTATACGTAGCTATGTTACTTGGACTCGTGTGAGTGTTGGATACAAGTATGTGCCTTACATGGGTTTGTTCAAATTTGTTCTAAGTTTTTTCCATGTATTTGGAGGATGTTTTCTCTATATCCATGTCCAAAAATGTGGCTGACACGTGCTGGACACTTGCACTTTGAAAGAAAACGAAGGGTTAAAGTAGCATTAGTAAAGAGAAGTGACCTCTAATGTTATACTGTATAGCTAACATGTAGGATTTTTTTCCTAGTAAGAATTGAAATATCTTTGTGCTAATCATTTAATAATTTTTCAGGTAGGAAGCCATTATCACTTTATCGAGGTAAACCCTATCATGGTTTGTAACACCCCAATTTAGGGGCTAAATTTAAGAAATTATAAAGTGGTGAATTTAATTGATATTTTTGGAAGAAATTGGGGATTAAATTGTAAAATTTTAAAGTTGGCAGACCATTTTAAGAAGTGCAAGAAATTGACTGACTAAACCCATGATTTAACCATTTTTTATATATGTTAAATTATAAATATCTCCCTGTCAGTTTCCAGAATGGTTTTCCAGTTTTTCCCTCTCCAACAACCCTTCTTTCAACTCCGATCTACTCGTCGTTCGACCTCCGATCGACGAGCCGAAACCACCATCGTGTTCGTTGTCGAGCGAGGAACAAAACCCCTCAAACCTTTCGTCGTGAATCGTCGCCGTTCGTCGGAAGTATTGTCGGTAATAACTCGATTTCAATTGGTTTTTCGTCGATTCACGACGATCCGATGATCCGTTTACGACACCTCCCGTACCATCGTGTTCCTTGCATCGTTCCGAGTCCGCTGGTGTCATCCTTGGTCTCCGTCGACGGCGGCGCGTGAGGAGGTGAAGCGGTCAAAGTTTCCGATTTGTTGAAATCGAGCTCTCCGCCATTCAAAATTGTGAACCGAGCTTTGTAAGTATCTCGGAATCGCTCAAAATAATTTTTAAGAATTTTTCCGTGATTTTTAGGCAGCCGGAAGGGGCCCCACGTGTCCCACGCGCCGCCACTGCGCGTAGAGATGGTCCAAATGACCGGTTTGACTGGTTTTGGAGCAGTGTTGACCGGTTACAACCCGACCCGACCCGTTGACCGTTGACCACTATTGACCAAAACTTTGACGGGCTTTGACCAGGCATTAAACGACCTTTGATTTTGACCGAGTATACCTATCCTGACATTTTTCGACGTTCCAAATTCGATTCCGCAGTCTGTTTTTCGAAATTCGAACCCGAAGGTCTTGAAATTGTCGGTCAAACCCGTTGACTTTGATTTTGACCGAAAATTCTAAATTTTTGAAAAGTCATATTTTATGCTTTCGACGCCCTGAATCCGAATCCGAAGTCCGTTTCGCCAAATTCGAACCTGGTAAGATGTTTTCACTGATTTATCCCCCGATTCGATCCGTTTATCGTAATTAAGCTCCGTTCTTGATATAATTTATGTTGAAATCGAGGTAATACTTTACTACCTCTTTATGCTTTATGAACATGTGAATATTGGTAAATGCATGAATAAGATAATGTTGGTCTCATTTGGGTAGTTAATGAATTTCTACACTCGATTCGAATACAATAGAAATTTGGTTACTGATTATAGTTCAACTGATTAATATAAGAAATTGATGTATTGTTAGAATTATATTATGAGTTCTGTGATTAGTGATAAAGGATTTATCATGAATTTGTAGCTTATAATATATGTCATTAAATGTTAAATGTTAAAGGTACTTGGATGAGAAATTATGAGAATACTCTGGTAGGGTAAAATTTCGAAAATACCCTTAAGTTGTAAGATGTCAAGAATTGTCCCTGGAAGTTGATTAATAACTCTGAAAGGATATATTGATATGATAAAACTACAGATGTGTTTAAGAAATGCTAGATTTTGCTTAGGAAATACGGATAACCGGTTTTTAACCCCTAGAGGGTTTATGCAAGATATTAGAATTCTACTAAGGAATCATTTCAAGATAAGAGAGTGTTCAAGAAAGCAATTAATCATAGGATCTCTAAATTGTAATTATTTTCGTTAAGAGCTAATATCGAAATTATCTGGTTAAGAAATTACGGAAATGTCCTTGAGAAGTAAAATAGTCCGAGTTGACCCTGAATGAGAAAATACTTTGAGGATTCGTACTTAACTCGATTAAGTACGGATTTGATTGTTAAATCTTGACTTAGTTCAGGAAAATTCCTTATATTTCATTTCTAAAATCTGAGAAGACACTTGACCCAGAAATATCCGAGTTATGAGTAAATACCTGAAGAATAATTTGTCAGGGTGTTCTGCTGTCATAATTGTTCGAAAGGACTGAAATAAATGATAAGATTGAATTTAATAGTAAGATCATACGGAAGGAAATGATTGAAATACGATGAATCTGTAAAATGACCAAAATACCATGTGATGGAAATGACCCAAGAATACCACCAAGCTCAAGAATGATTGGATATCTTCGAGCTCTGAAATAAATGGAATAAAAATGAAAACTAAAATTACCAAAATACCCTTGTGTCCTATTCTAAGTAAATGCCTTGGATTAATTAAGGAATCCAAATAAGCATAAGTGTTGGACTATCTTTAGAAGTTATGGATCACAGCTTAAGTAAGTTGATCAATCTTAAGGATATGTCAGTACCTGAATGGCATAGATGTTTCTTGAATGTGTGTTCGTCTTCTCAAGTGTGGTTCGATGATAATTTTGAAAGTACTCAGCTCAACTCTGGATCACATCCGGTACTAAGAAATGAATATTCGTTAGAGAAATCAACCAAGAAGATCAAATTGAATGGATCTGAAGTACAATATATATCTGAAATACATGAACGTTTGTATTACTCTAGAAAATCCCGAAGTAACTAGAATGGACTTGAATACTAAATGAAATAAGTAACTTCAATGACTGAGGATTAAGTAAGTGATTAGGATAAGCCTGGAAATTCGATGAATTTACATGATGTATCGTCCTTAAGGAACATGAACTACAAATCAAGAACGTCAGTATTTCATGATATCGTGGAAGCTTGGAAATGAAATAAAGACCATTGGAATATCTATTCAGCGATGTTTCTGAAGATGATCTATGGACAAGAATTTGTGGTATTAAAGAGTAAATACCCTAGAAGGAAAATAAATTGACCAGTAGACATAGATTGTTAAGGTTCTGAATCTTCGTTCTCAAGTTGTTCGATTATCCGATCAATTGACATGTATGTAAAGTATTTTGAATACCCTTATGATTACGTACAACTTCTGAAAACTGTCCGAATAAGATATTATCCTGATAATTCACATTCTGAATAACTGATGATTATGTCAGTTAATGAACTCTTCCAATCGTGATTCTAAATTCCAACATTCTATCGACATACTGAAGAACTGTGTTTCTCTGCCTGATACAATACCTCTAAATAATACCTGTAAACTCTGGTGTGTTCCATAATTACATGAATATTTTATCTGATTTCTGATTTAAATTCTATTATGATACCTGACCTAGATTATGTTTTGATATTGACATGGATTCTGATCTGATACATGACCTGGATTCTGATATGATACTTGACTTGAATTATGTTTTGATTTTTGATATATCCGTTTACGGACGGTATATGTTTTATTAGGGGGTATTGTTGGAGGAAGATTACTTAGAGGCTCCTCGGCTTTGTGCTCAGGGCCTTACTGTACGTGACGGGGTTGTATGGTTCTAGGGAACCTACACATTTTGTACGTGATGGATGGGGGTATATATATATATATATGTTTTAAAAGATTTGTATCTTTTTACTAGTTTTACGAGAACACACTAGATAACCTATTCTGATCTCCTGAACTCAGTCATCCGAAATATTTCTCTGAACTGAAAGCTCATTGTCCGTTACCATCTAAAATATCAATAGGATCTCTGCTCAGCATAAAAATCTGTAGATATCTGAACCAATAAAGAAATGTATGTTTATCTGTATCTGCACGTTCTTCAGCATCATCTTGTAGTTATGTATTACTGAGCTTTTCGAAGCTCACTCTATTACTCAACATTGCAGGTTAAAAGAATTGTACCAGTGCAGCTATCGACATCAGTAAGGGAGTTCTTCCGGCGTTGTTTGCAGAGTACGGTACATGTGATTAGGGGGCATGTAATTGCATTTTGTTTTATATACGAGTCTGAAAATATGTTTTATTTTTAAATAGTGGCAAATGATTTTATAAGCTTACATGTTCTAATAAATAGTTTTAAAATTTCCGCTATATTTACAGTGGGTCGCTCCGGTGGCCCTAATGTGACACCTCAGATCGGATTGGGTTACCCTTATCGGTTTGAGGGGGTTACATTTAGTGGTATCAGAGCTATGGTTTGAGTCAAAAATTTTCAATATGGATCGGTCGGTCGAATTTTAAACCGATGTCTGATCAGTACATGCCTCTGGACTACAATCGTACCTCTCTGAGTCAGAACTCCAGGACTGAGTCCCTATCTGTATCGAGTAAACAGAAGTTTCTATCCGTTAAGTCTATACTTGTACAAAATGGAATATCAGTAGCATCTGTCAAAACACTCTTAAGTACCTTACGAGCCATGTGAGAGTTATTTATCTGAAAAATTCTGACTTGACTCCGGAAATGAAATTTGGATATGCTACTTCTCTATGAGCCTATTCTCATGACAAAGACTGAATTGATTACTCAAAGAAATTTTCGTTCGGATTCTTTTATTGAAATGAGGAAAAGTTATGATAAGAATATATGCTCAGTTGGTTAAGGATTAGTGGATGATTCGTACTTTTGTAAAAGCTACTTAAAGATATGAGAGAACTGATGGAAGTTTTATTTCTGCAATTATGTGATATGAGAGAATTTCGAGGACGAAATTCTTTTAAGGAGGGGAGAATTGTAACACCTCAATTTAGGGGATAAATTTAAGAAATTATAAAGTGGTGAATTTAATTGGTATTTTTAGAAGAAATTGGGGATTAAATTGTAAAATTTTAAAGTTGACAGACCGTTTTAAGAAGTGTAGAAAATTGAGAGATTAAACTCATGATTTAACCATTTTTTATATATGTTGAATTATAAATCTCTCCCATGTCAGTTTCCAAAATGGTTTTCCAGTTTTCCCCTCTCCAACAACCCTTCTTTCAACTCCGATCTACTCGCCGTCCAACCTCCGATCGACGAGCCGAAACCACCATCGTGTTCGTTGCCGAGCGAGGAACAAAACCCCTGAAACCTTTTATCGTGAATCGTCGCCGTTCGTCGTTAATTTCAGTCAAAAGTATCATCGGTAATAACTCGATTTCAATTGGTTTTTCGTCG